CAACATATTTCTTAATACTATGACTTACTGTCTAACCGGCTGAATTAACTGCTGACGCTGCGCTTCCCATAGATTCAATTATGCTAACGTATGTTCGATTATTTTTGCATGAGAGTTCAATTACCCGCACTGGTTATGCGCGTGTTTGGGGAAGTGCGGCGTCAGCACATTCACACAGGTATGTGTGTTAGCCCCCGTATTAACTTAGATATATATATATTTTTTAAGTCGTTTTTTTTTGCTAAAAATTACTTGTATATATATTCTTTCTTTGTAACACTTTTGTACATACTTCCGTGATTTCTTAAATATATGAACAAAGTTAATATACCCTTTTGCAAAGTGCGCTCGGGTATAAATACAACAACCAAGTGGTTTTGCTTAGGGGCATTCAATGTAGTTTATCTTTTGTCTTTGACGTTTCTCCTCTATTTAGCAAAAAAGATCAATAAGAGGATAGATTTTTTATTGTATTGTAATTACGTATTGGATAGTTCAGCTCGAAAAAGAAGATAACCTGGTCATAAGTGGGTCGCTAAACAAAAAAAAAAAACCTAATAACACTATTGCGAAATTTATTAAGTGCAGCAGTCTACCGGATATCCGGTCGGATATCCGAATCCGGCTCTCATTTTTTACATGGTATCCGGAATCCGGTTATCCGGCAAAATCTCTATCCGGCACATCCCTAAATAGTACTAAACATAACATAAATATTGTACAGCACTAGTTATTTTTGAACTACCGTAATTATTCACATAGCCATATACCGACAATTGTACATATATTTTTAAGCACCATCGCAATAAAAAAAAAAAACAAAGCACAAATGACAACGTGACTTACGCGACGCGACTGCGTCCGGCAATTTGTATAAATAGCCGGCCAGCAATCAAAGCGGACAGGAATCGTCAGGCAACTGCTGGAGAGTCAGGAGCTTTAGCACAAATAGGGTAGGATCTACTCTGGGTATGCTAGGTATCAGGAGACGGGCAGGTTCTACTCTCTCTCCTATAGACCTTAGCCAAGTATTTAGAGACGGGTTCTACTCCCTCTCTTAGAAGGTTGTGGGTAGGTTCTACTCCCGTTCTTTTACTATAGCTGTAATTATATTTGGTGGGACGGAGCTACGCCCACCAACCGAAGAGGAACGAGTTCTACTCCCGTCCTCTTAACGAACGACCAAGACAGACTAGTACTTTGCTATAAACCGAAAAAGAACTTTTATTATTTTTGTGGAGAACCCGGCAGCCGATGAGCATACCCCAGCATAACCCGGAGTTCGTAACAAAGTGGACATTAAAGCCCTTTTCTTGTATTTAAACGCGAAAAACTCCAATATCTTGGAGCAGTTCTGAAACGACCTACGGCTGCACAGCGACATAAACTTTAAAATCAGTATTCATAATTATCATGTTCTTAATTTCTTTGGATTACATGTCAAATCGCAAGTCTACTGAATTCAAGCTACTTGTTGCATAAAACAGACTACAAGCCATTTAAAAACTTAAATCTACAGGTATGTATATCGCACAGGTAACGTAACGGCCTTTTTCTTTAACGTAACAGTCCGACTATTTTTTGCAAATATTGACCTCAAAATTAATTTTATCAGTTTGATAAATACCTAGCTCTTGAGTTATATAAGGAGAGCAGACTTTTTCGATAACATAAAGCAGCTTTAAAAAGTAATTTCAAAAATTTTAATGTAGCAGTCCGCTGTCAAAACATTTATAACTAAAACCTAAACAACATGAGGTACAATATGTTTTAGGTATATATTAATTATTGCCACATGCTTATGCTTTCAGATGCAACAAGAAAAATACTCCGAAAGTTGTATTCTAGCACTGTGAGCCAAAACGTATTATAACAGTACGCTTTTTGGGCCACATGATCATTTTCTTTAATTTATAGAGTCAGAAGCAATCAGCATGAATCGGAATATATTTATAATAAACGCCTATAACGAAGAAGCAATTACATTGTGAAAAAAATAAAAACAAGTTATGGTTCTAATATTTCGGGCCCCTTAAGAAGCCCGGGACGGGGGGGACTCACCCCTTTCCCCCCTTCCTCTCGACGGGCCTGGCCATTATATCAAATATCTTTTCAAAGAGCTCGTTGCTTACTGGTTCAGACAAAATTATACCAATTATCTAAAGCGATATAAAATATGAATTTGCTGAAAGCAACTGTGTTAACCGATGGAAGGCACATTTTTTTACTACTCGACGAGCACACCCTAAAGTTAAAATATTCTAAAAAATTAAATTTTAACACAAACCAACAACAACCATCTGATCAAATCTAAATATTAAAAAAAGCGTTGCCCTTGATTGTAATTGGGTTGACCGCATGAAAAACTGGAAAAAGCAACAGCAGTTTATTTGGCGAGCTTAGCTCAGTTGGTAAGACCACTGAGCGCCCAAATTGCCTGGTGAACTCGACGAAGAAGTCTGAGGAGGAGATGTGGTGATCTCCGAAATAGCAACTATAACTTCTACTTTTGTAAATTGTTGTTGTTTTCCACAACGTTTTTCATTTAAAATAACGGCCCCAAACTTAATAAAATTGTTGAAAATAATTTTTTACTACTCCAAAAAAAATATAAAACGGCCAGACTGAACCAAATAAAGGTTACACCATCTTATCAATGAACGTGTTACGTATGCTATTGAAATAATGAGCTTTATTTATTACGTAATTTAGTTACTTAAAATTTTACTAAACTTAAAACTAGTTTAGAAGGCCACATAGAATAACTCATAAAGTAAGCTTTTGCCTGTCCAAGTGACTTACGGACACAATAGCTTTTTCAAAATAATGGCTTGGTTTCACGAAAAAATATAATATAGGGAAGCTTGCACTTTCTAGAAAAACATCTTGAAAGCACCATTCGGTTGCTGGCTAGTTAAAATTCTTATGAGATTAAAAAAATATTTTAAATTTCATCGACTATTTAATTAAAACTAAGCGATATTATCAAGCAAATTTAAATGCATTTTACCTGAAGTGTTTGCTTTAACGAAATGTGTCATATCATGCGCTACTAATTGACCCCACTGCAAAAACGCCAATGTTCGAAAATCATCCGGCAACGATGCTTCTCCATATAAAGACAATGATAATAGACGGGCATTCGGTAATGGGGTTCCTGTGACTGAGATTGTTGGAGAGTAAACACCATCACTATATTTAGGCGCCATCATTCGTGCATATCTGTAGAACAAATTTAAATCAATTAATATAAGTTCATTACAAACAAACTTTAAAGCAGCGTAAAAAATAAGCCTTAGCACGGCAGCATAAAAGTTTTGTTTCTAAAACTTCTTGTTGGCATAAAACTGTAGGTCCATTACATAATAACAAAAGGGCGCATACCACAAAATGAAGGAGGGTAAAAATTTAACAAAAGTTATTTTTTAAAGTTAACAACAAAATACAATACATATCGCAAACTTTCTTCAAAAGTGTTATATGTAATTCAAAAACTATCGTTTGTCGTAAAACGCAAAAAACTATTCCTTGGCTCATGTTAATCATATATTTAAGGAACATGTGAGAAATATGTTTATTTATGCATGTGCATTCCGGTGTCCTAAAAATTTTCCTTCGCGGAACTCACTTTTGACCTAAGGGGCGTTTCAGGTGCAACGGGGTATAGTCGTTTTGCTGGGTATGCAGTTACGGTGGCAATATATCCAATGAAAAGACTAAAAAAGCCTCGGATAACTCCATCTCCACACGTTGACGACACCCGTAAACGGAACAAGGACTACGAATTACGGATATGCACCTGGAATGTCCGCACCCTCTATAGGGAAGGTGCCTCTAGCCAACTGCTGGACGTCATCACAAAATACCAGGCTGACATCACCGCAGTTCAGGAAATGCGATGGACGGGGCATGGTTGCAAAAAATTTGCTGCATGCGACGTCTACTATAGCTGCCAAGGGACGGTGCATAAATTTGGTGTTGGATTTGTGGTTGGGCGGACACTCCGACACCTTGTCTCCCAGTTCACGCAGATCAGTGAGCGAATCGCCACTCTCCGCTTAAAGGCGAAATTTAATAGCATAAGCCTAATTTGTGTGCACGCCCCGACGGAATAGAAGGACGATGAGACTAAGGAGGTTTTCTATGATCCTCTAGGAGAAGCGTATGAGCGCTGCCCCCGCCACGACATTAAAACCGTACTTAGCGACTTTAACGCCACGGTGGGCAAAGAGGGCATATTTGGTCCAACAGTCGGAAAATGCAGCCTTCATGACAACACCTACGACAACGGAGGGAGGCTCATCGACTTCAGCGCGGCACGGAACATGGTAGTCAGTAGTACCAGACACCAGCATCGAAATATCCACAAAGCAACTTGGGTGCCCCCTGATAAAAGAACAAACAAATTGATCATGTTGTAATATATGGAAGATACGCTTCGAACGTTCTTGACGTTCTCTCTATCCGAGGTGCCAACATCGACTCGGATCACTACCTTGTCGCAGCTAAGGTCCGCATGCGCCTCTGTGCAATAAAAAACGTGCGTAAGGCAACACGGCGAAAGTTCGATATCGCAAAGCTGCAGTCACAATAGACAGCCGAAAAATTTAGCAACCGACTCTCAATCCTGCTTAATCAAGCAGCTCCTCATCGCCTGGACATAAATGAGCAGTGGGACTCCATCTCCCAATCCCTTCGTACAGCTGCGGAAGAGGTTGTTGGTTACCACTAACCGAGCAGAAACCACTGGTATGACGAAGAGTTCCGCGCGGGTGCCGCAGAAAAAAACGCAACATACAAAGCTACCCTGCAGCCAATGGCGTCACGCGCGACAATTGAGCGATGCCGAGAGAAAAGTAGGGAAGAGAGACGCCTTTTCAAGAAAAGGAAAAGAGAGGCAGAAAGGCGTGATTGCGAAGAGCTTGAGATGCTGGCAGACAGGAATGCGGCTCGAAAATTCTATCAGAAAATAAAGCAGCAATCAAATAGTTTTAAGAACGGGGCTAGCTCCTGAAAACATGAAGATGGAAATCTGGTAACAGATGTCCAGAGTACACTTGAGATATGGAGGGAATACTTCTCAATACTTTTGAATGGCGACACAGGTGGTGCGTTTGATGAAGAAGACCCCGAAGCAACGTATAGGGACGAAGATCACGTCCCTCAGCTCGTCCAAGACCAGAACAGCAATAAAGCGGCTAAAGAACAACAAGGCCCCCGGAGCCGACGGTATACTGGCTGAGCTGTTTAATACCGGTGGTGAAGAGTTGGTGGGGCGTATGTACCAGCTTTTAAGCAGAATTTGATCTGATGAATACATGCCCGAAGACTGGAATCTCAGTGTACTTTGCCCAATCCACAAGAAGGGAGATCCTGTCGTTTGCGCCAACTAGCGCGGAATAAGCCTTCTTAATATTGCATACAAGGTCCTGTCGACAATATTGTATGAAAGACTGAAGCCGTTCACTAACCAGCTGATTGGACCTTATCAGTGTGGCTTCAGACCTGGTAAGTCCCCCATTGACCAGATTTTGTCGATTTTAAAGCTGCTTTTGATAGCCCGAAGAGGAGCTGCCTGTACGACGCCATGTTCAAGTTTGGGATCCCCGCAAAACTAATACGGCTATGTAGAGTGACGTTGAGCACAACCTTCAGCTCCGTCCAAATTGGGAAGGACCTCTCGCGCCGTTTGATACCAAACGAAGTTTTAGACAAGGCCATTCATTCTCGTGCGACATTTTCAACCTGATGATGGAAAGTGTAATTAGAGCTGCCAATCTGAATCGCAGAGGCACCATATATAGCAAAAGGACGGGGCTTGCTGGCGTATGCAGACGATATCGATATAGTAGGTCTGAAACAAAGGGACGTAACCGCAGCATTTTCCAGTTTAGAAAAGGAAGCTATAGAGGTTGGTATCGTGGTGAACGAGAGCAAGACAAATTACCTCCTGGCAACATATAAAGAGTCCACACGTTTCGGAACACACGTCACTGTTGGCAGTATAACTTTGAAGTAGTGAAGGACTTTGTCTACCTAGGATCCAGCATAAACACCACCAACAACATCAGCCTGGAGATCAAGCGAAGAATAACTCTTGCCAACAGGTGCTATTTTGGGTTCGGTAGGCAATTGAAAAGAATAGCCCTCTCTCGACGAACGAAAATCTTGCTCTACAAATCTCTCATCAAGCCGGTCCTTTTATATGGCGAAGAAACTTGGACGATACCGAACAAAGCTGAGAAGGCTTTCGAGAGAACTATTCTACGCAAGATCTACGGCCCTGTTTTCGTGGACGACGGGTATCGGAGAAGATGGAATGACGAACATGGACATAGTCAAGAGCATAAAAAGACAGCGATTTCGCTGGCTTGGACATGTTGTACGCATGGATGACGACGCTCCGGTGAAAAGATCCTTCGACTCCGCACCCAACGAAAGCAAGGGCGCCGGACGCAATGGAAGGACCAAGTACAGAAGGACCTGTCTGCGCTCGGGATAACCAACTGGCGCAAATTCGCACAGGTGAGAAGCAATTGGAGAAGCTTTTTGGTCTCGGCCCAAACCGACAAACGGTTTTGGTGCCAAATTAGAAGAAAAAGAAGGCGTTTCTAGTCAAGCGGATAGAAACATGTGATGCTCTGGAATTCGTTCATATTTTGGGTATGAAAGTGTTCACAGAATTTTTTTTAATATAATGGCTATTTGTCGAGTTATGGGCTTCTAAGGAATATAAGAAATGAAAATTAGGTTTTTATTGTAGTAGTATTTCGTTGTAAAAAATATTAAACTTCGCGATTTATATAGAAAAGTTCCCGCGTTTTTACAAACGAAATCAATTAAAAAAAAAAAATTTTGCATACAACACCAGATGTAAAAATTTCAAAGTAAAATTTTGGAAACTTATACTAAATACGTTCAAATTGGCGAGTTAAACATGATAAATGGACTTGAACTGGTTAATATTACGTTCAAATTAGCCTAATTTAACTTGTTAACCGAAAAAGAGGTTTTCGTAAAACACAATCGTTCCCATTCAATTCTTGGAGTTAATTTGGACGGTAGTTTGATTACAAATAAATATTAAAAAACAATCATAAATCAATTCTTTGTGTTTAAATTTATTTTGTCCGAAAGTCTGCTTCTTGATATTAACTAGGGCTGCCAGATATCTCTGTTGCCAAACCAGGACACTTAAGGGGGGGAGAGGCCTCTCGCTCCCTTCCCTTTCGTTTCGACAAAAATTACGTACGAAAGGATGTAATAAAATTTTATTTTGACAAACAAAACCAAAAACATAAAAACATGAGATCATGAGATCATTACAATGTAGACCAGCAAAACAAAATAATTTATCGCAACTAAAGCACAGCACTTTTTTGTTCCTTATAAAAATACAGTTTATACTAAATACATCAGAAACCATAAAAATAAAATTTCTAAACTTTGTGCAAAACTCGATACAATAAATTTGCATACAAATTCGCAACTTTCTATTCAGACTTTTTTATAAAAATTTTGTAATTAAGTTTTGCAGCCCATAAAAATTTAGTTGAGTTTTGGTATTGTTTTTACTGAGAGTTTCTTCCATACAAACTATGTTCGACATTTTTTTGTATGTGGAAGACACTGTCAGCAAAAAATAAATAATTGCAAAAAATCAACGAAATTTTCTGGTAACTTGAGACTTGCACTTTACTAATTGGCTCAAAAGCTAAATTTTCAAAATTTTTCTAAAAGATCTGATTAGAAATTGTGATCAGATGAAAGAGTCTTCGAGCAAATAATTTTGTACGGCACGGTACTTATGAGTAATCTAGGTCTCACGAAAGAAAAAAAAATTAAATACAAGGTAACATTAAAATATCAGTCATTTGTTTCGTTGCTGTAAACTCGTTTCAAAACTTCTGGCTTTTGCTTAATGTAATTGTAAAACTCTGTGCATGTCATTTTAACGTATTTAGGTACATACTTACATTAATCATTTACTATTGCTTGTGCAAAACGTGCTAAATTAAAAAAAAAATCGCATATGAAAGAGCACCAACCCAACTCGTAATAAATTAAGGTATATAAATTTTAGTATTTAGTATAGAATTATTCAATTGAAATACGCCAATACTAAGTGAAGCGCTTTGCACTTAACGGATGCTTTTTCATAATTAAGTTAAAAAATATTTAAATTCCATGCTGCCTGTAATGGGATTTGAACCCTGACAATC